TTTACTCGGCAAGATTCGTATCTTGTGCCTACGTATCCTGGATAGGGAATGGAATCAGAGTAATCGTAGTTCCCCTTGAAAGGGAGGTTAGAAACTTCTTGACTGTGGTCAAGGTTTCAATGGGGGAGTAAACGTTTCTTAAGGACATGTTTACGTGGAGTTTTGAAACTCCTATTTCTAAGTTGAGATTTTTAATTAAAATTAGGGTTGACTAAATGTTTCACGGCGGGAAACTCTAAAACAGAGCACGGCGAAGACCAGAGTTTTATTTTTTGAATCTATTTAAAGGGAAGAATTAGTTTTTGCATTAAAATGGAGAAATTCTTTTAATTTTTATATTTTCTTAAGAAAATTTTGTTTAAGTTTAATTAAAGAAATTTTTTAATTTTAAGGTCTTTGATTAAGAAAAATCTTGTTTTAAATTTTGTGGTAACTAATAAAAAAATGCTTTAATTTTAATATTGAAAAGGTTTTTTAAAAAAAAATCTTAATCTTAATATGAAAAATGTTTTAATTTTAAATATTTTTATTTAGTTATTCTTTATTTTAGATTTATAAAAAAAAGAATTAATTAGCTAACAAAGAAGTTACAGTATTAATAATAACTAAATAAAAATATAAAAACAAAAAAAAAGAACCGAATTAAAAGGGAGGGGGGTTTTCTCTGCTGAACATATTCAAGGTTTTTGTAACCCTTTCTTCCTCTTCATTATGCGCCGCCGACTTCATCTTCCATGCGAGGCCATTTCAGAGCTTTCTGGCTCCTTGTTCGTTTGCATGTTGCTTCTTATACATTCTCCTTCTTCTTCTTTTGACCATACGCCTCCTTTTCTTCTTGAATCTGAAACGAAAAGAAAAATAACTCTCTGAAACCAATAAGGAAAGGATTTCTCACCGCTGTTATGGCTTTCAAAATGATTTCTCCAATGGTTTTCTTGAACAGCCAATGATGATGAAGGTCTGAGGCCGTGGTTGTGAGCTGAGGTTGAAGTCGGATTGCCCGCCATTTCTTCGACGATCGGCGATGGTTATCTTCTCCCTCGAGTTCTGCGGTGTTCTTCCGGTGACTTGATGATGTTTTCCGTTTCTTGAGGTTGTTGGATCCGTAGCCGATGATGTTGAAGCTGAGGCTGCGAGTTAGATTGCCCGCTGTTTCTTTGACAATCAGCGATGGTGGTCTTCTCCTTCGAGTTCCGCGGCGTTCTTTCGGTTCCCTCTTGACTTTTCTTCTTTCGTTCTGGCTGGTAATGATGATGAACTGTTGAATTTCTCTAAACCTTCAATCCTAATCGCGCCGCCGGTTCTCTTTGATGAGGGTATCGGATCCGATTTTTTTTTGGTCTCCCTCAAGTTGGTTTTCCAGACGATTTTATATGATTTCCTTTTGTGGGCTTGACGAATTTATTGTGGCTTTGTTGCAGGAATTTCGAATGATATCGTTAGGGGTTTGACCGTGTTTTGATTGGTTACGGTTGCTGGATTTGTGTTGTTTTTTGTTTGTTGGATTGTTGTTGGATCTATTCATTGGATCCTCGTGTAATTTCCGGAAACTTTTACGGATGGTTTGTTGCTGAGTTTGTTTCGTTGTCAGATCTGTTGATTTCGTGATATTCGTGAAAATTTGTTTATGCTGTTGGCTGAAAATCTAGTTTTGGATAAGTGCTTTTCAAATAAGCATTTTTTCCAAACCAACTTTTTTAAATAAGCACTTTTACGCAAACCAATTTTTCCAAAAGCACTTTTTTCTCTTTATCTCTCTCTGGTTGCCTCGGAAACAAGAACGGAATGTTGCCGATCTTGGCCATTGGCCGAGAATCGGATCGAGAGCCGGTTTCAGAGTAATCTGTTGCCCTCCCGACACCCGATGATGATATTACTCTGAGGGTGTCAAAACTAACCAATTAAATTTTATTTGCTGATTTTGTAGGTTCGGAAAGTCAAAAACTCGAAGAAAAGTTGAGGAAATCGTATAATCATAAAGACTTAGGATTATGCAAATTTTTATATATTTTTTGTAATTTTTTTTTGTAAAAAAAGATTATTAATAATAATAATAAATCTTTAATTTTATTTATTTATTTATTTGTTTTTGATATGCAACTAAAAATGAAAAAACTAAAATTAAAATGAAACAAAGATATTTAGAAATGGAAAAATATTTAAAAATGAAATGCAATAAAAGTGGTTTAAAAGGAAATGCAAATAAGATAAATGCCATATGATTAATCTAAAATGAAATGAGAAATGACAATGAAATTCTATTTTTCTATTAATTCCTAATTCCTCCGAGTTATCCGACTATTCCGTTTCTGACATAACTTCCGATTAAATCTTCTGGCCATTCAAATGAACAAACTTATCTGATTAACCTTGGCCCTGACTCACATCAACAATACCCAACTGATCAAATTTCCTGACTACCGCTCACAATTCGTAAATCGACAACCGGCTGCAAATAAATGACCATTTTACCCTTCATGCACTAAAGAGCGCGCCACCTGATATTTTCCTGCAAAAATCAACCAACTATACGAACCTCTAGCGAATGGTTAAATACAATGTACAGATACAATGGCATGCGAGATGAAACGACAAATCTTAGGGCAAAATTTGGGGTATTACAACATCCTTATCACAGGTTCCTCTTATTCTATTATTCACAAACTTATCACTCAACTACATGATCAATTCTCTCTTAAGAAACTTGGAAAACCTGAATATTTTCTTGGTTTGGAAGTTAAGTATTAGTCCAATGGATCTCTTATCGTAACTCAAACTAAACATATCAAAGATCTGTTATCTAGATTTAATATGAAAGAAGCTAATGGATTACCTTCACCTATGTTGAGTCAATGTAAACCTAGCAGGTTTGGAACTGATTCTATGAAGGAACCTCTCTTGTACAAGTCTGTTTTAGGTGATTTACAATACATTACTCTCACAAGACCTGATATAACTTACTCTATAAATAAGGCATGCCAGTTTATGGAAAACTCTCTTGACACTCATTGGAGCATGGTAAAAAGGATCCTTAGGTACTTAAGTGGTATCTCTACATTGGTCTATTGTTATCTCCTGCTAACCCAAATCAAGTTCTTTCTCTAAGGTCCTATAATGACTTTCACTAGGCAAATGATCTAGATGATAGAAGATCTACTTCTGACACTTGCATCTTCATTGTCCCTAATCTTATTTCTTGGAGTTCTAAGAAACAAACCTTAGTTGCTAGATCTAGTGCAGAGCAGAATATAGAGCACTAACACATACAACCTCTGGAATCTTATGGTTAGAATCTTTGCTGGCTGAACTTAAGATTAAGTATTCCTCTCCTATTATTCTCTGTGACAATTTGAGTGATGTGTTGCTCTCTCATAATCCCATCCCGCATGCCAGAACAAAATATATTGAACTGGATCTGCATTTTGTCAGGGAAAAGGTTATGGCTTAGAAATTAAAAATACAACATGTACCTGCCTCAACTTAACTAGTAGATATCATGACAAAGTCTCTCTCAAGTGCCACATTTCAAAACCTAAGGAACAAGTTCAAAGTAGTCATGCTTCCACCACCTTGACCTTGTGGGGGAGTATTAGAGTTCTGTAGATTTACTTCTTGATATATCTAGTTAGTTTTATTTGGTATAGTTTGTTATGCATTGTTAATCATTATTAATCACCTGTATAAAAGGGTTTCTGTATCAGATATTATTGTAACCTTCATTTACACAAATATTCATTGAATGTAAAGTAATGCAAAGCATTCTTTCAATCTACCTACAGAGAATGCACCTCCATTGTTAACATCAGAGTTAATCAGAGTCTTGGCACATGAAACAACATGATCAGCGTCTTCTTCGGTGGTAGCCTCGACAAGAACAACAACAGTTGCGTCAAGAACGGGAATGAGGAGTAGTTTAGAAAAGATTTGATCAGTTTCAAGATCTGCGAGGAAATCAACAGAGGAGATAGTGCAAAGAATGAAGGGGCGGAGGAGGGAGAGTGTTTGAGTGTTAGGGAACCTTATAGGAGAGTGTTCTATATGACCTTGAGGAAAATAGTATACTCTTGAATGAAGTTTGGGAACTGTGAAAGAACTTTCTTTCCATATTTTTGGATCTACAACGCGGGATTGTTGTTGTTGAGCCATGCAGAAACTTTCTTGTGAAAGAGTTGAGTATGTTTTTTTTTGAAGAAGAGCATAGAGTTGAGAATGAGTTATTATAATTTATAGAGGAGTTTGTTTAGTGACCATAAAGTTTATTGTTTTCTAAGATTGCGTTTCTTATATCTCAAAAAGTTTGTTTTCTTTTGAACAAAAAAATGCGTTTTTTAAACAATATTTATGTAATTTACAAAACAGCAATAAAATAGTATTTTTCTTTTTGACAGAAGAAAATAGTATTTTTATTTAATAATTTATAAATAAGTATATTATTATTAATATGGTAATAATTTTATAATTAACTAGGTTTTTGAATATAATAAAAATGATTATAACAACCTTTTCCTTAATATATTTTTGTTACACATACTATTTATTTTATAAAATAATTTATGGATAATGGTACGCCGTATATCTCTAAAAAAACCTAATTTTCTGATATTGAAACATGCCATAGATTAAGATCGGAGCATTAGAGTTACTATAGCTCAATGCTTTCTCATCATGACTTTTTTAAACTACCACTTCAGCATATCCATTGAACTAATTGTCAATAGCATAAAATAAAAAAAAACAAAAAAAACAAGAATACCGTAATTAGTGGAAGTTGTTACTTTGTTATATATATAGAACCTTACTGGGGCTCTCTTGTGCATTATCACTCACTCTCACAGCTCTTTCTTACAGGGGCTCTCTTGTGCATTATCACTCACTCTTACAGCTCTTTCTTACAGGGGCTCTCTTGTGCATTATCACTCACTCTCACAGCTCTTTCTTACAGGGGCTCTCTTGTGCATTATCACTCACTCTCACAGCTCTTTCACCCGCAAAGTTCAGGCATGGCTGAACAACAAGAATACCGTAATGTAGCTCCAAGAATATGGCAAGAATGTGCCGGAAGTTCTTTCACAGTTCCCAAACTCCATTCTAAAGTTTATTATTTTCCTTTTGGTCATTTAGAACACTCTCCTGTAACCCCTACCGCTCAAACACTCTCCCTCCTCCGCCCATTCATTCTTTGCACGGTCTCTTGTGTTGATTTTCTTGCACATTCTGAAACTGATCAAATCTGTGCAAAACTACTCCTCACTCCCGTTGTTCTTCCCGTCGAGGCTACCAACGAAGGTGATGATCATGTTGTTCTTCCCGTCGAGGCTACCAACGAAGGTGATGATCATGTTGTTCTTCCCGTCGAGGCTACCAACGAAGGTGATGATCACGTTGTTTCCTGTGCCAAGACTCTGTCTAATTCTGATGCTAACAATGGAGGTGCATTCTCCGTGCCTCGAGCATGCGCCAAATCCATCTTCCCGCCGCTTGACTTGACAACTCCGTTGCCGTCTCAAGAACTCTCCGTCACAGATGTTTGCGGTGTTGTATGGACCTTTCGCCATGTCTATCGCGGGAATCCCAAGCGATTCCTGTTCACCACCGGCTGGAGTGCATTTGTGGACAAGAAGCAACTCGTCTGCGGGGATACCCTTGTTTTCATTAAAAACTCAGCTGTAAATATATTTGTTGGAATCCGTCGGAAAAATATGTTTGCGGCGGCTAATAAAATAGCAGAAAAGACAGTTATTAATGCAATAGAATTGGCTGGGAAGAACACACCATTTGAGGTTGTGTGTTATCCGAGGGTTGATGATTCTGATTTTGTGGTGGGAGATAAAGTTGTGGAGGATGCAATGAAGATTCATTGGTATCCTGGAATGAGAGTTACACGCACAGTGAAGAATGAGAATTCTTCAAAGGGATGCACAACTCTTCATGGGACAATATCTGCAATTTCCCATTCTTCAACTAATCCATGGCGCATGCTACTGGTAAATAGATACTTTCTTCTTTTTGCTTTATTATAATATTTCAAATGCATACATATTAGAATTCACATTGTAATATTTCAAATGCATACATATTGTAAAGATTCTTGATGCCAAGACTATTAATTCAAAAGTATATATAATTGATTGGCATTGAATTAATACTATTTTCATCTCATTATTATAGGTTGAATGGAATGAATTCGACATCTCGGAGAAACTAAAGCATGTAAGTCCGTGGCAGGTAGAACCTGATTTTAGCATACCTCAAGAGCTTCAACTATTCGCCCCAATAAAACGGCTAAGAACTGCTCGAGAGTCTACCTTATTAACTGATAAGGAAAGAGTTGTTTCTCCTATTTCAATGGAACCCTTGCACCAAACACCATTGAATTTTGATTTCAGACAAAATCCTTTGAAAGATACTTCACTTGACAAAAGTTCAATGGAAGGGTCTAATAATGTGTCAATTCAGCTAAGCATTACAAATCATAAATCTCATGACCATAATATTTTCAACTCTTCTGGTATCCGCAACTCCAACACTGAAGAAGTTAGGCCTGATTATATAAAATTATTTGGTCAGATCGTCCGGCCCTCTAAAAATAGTATTGACTTTTATGAGAAGCTGATGGTTGTGAGAAGCGAAAATGAAGTTGAAGATCCGGTCAAATCTGTTGAGAAAAAATAGCTCAAGAATTGTATAGAAATTATGTCGATTGAGTTGAAACTTTATCATTTTAATGATTAGATCATTTGCTGATTTTCTAACTTAGAAAGTGTTTGTTTGCCTGATTAATTTAAGTGTTATGGTTGGAATCTAGTAGAGTTCATGTTTTTTCATCATATAGCTAGATATTCTTTGTCTGTTTTTGCTTTACTTTTCATTTCAAAATAAATCAGATGATCTCATGTGTTCAGTTTTTTTTTTATAATAACAGTATACAAAACGTTCGTATTTCATAGGTTTCAAAATTGGAATATGGTTTAAATTTTGAGATTTGATTGAAATTAAACTAATGCAGGTTCATGTTCACATGTCTAATTGGAAAGAATGTTCCTAACACTGCAAAATCACTTGTGTTTTTTTTCATTGATTTAAGAACAGGTGAATTTGATGGTTGGTTATAATTTGTCGTACTGAATTCCATTTTATTCGGACCTTTTGCATCATAGTCTGCTCAAGCTTTGACTATATTTTATAAGGCATAAGCATTTTTTACGCCTTTTTTCACTCAATTGTAAAAGAATACCAACATTAAAATTTCATCATTTCTCCAGGTCTTTCACTCAATTCAACCAACATTGAAAATTAAAATATTATCTAAGGAAATAGAGGTAATGTACTAGGGCACTATCGAAAAAGCCAAACAAAACTCTTAAAGATGAACTAAAGATGAGTGGCTGCAAACTATCAATTATAAACAACTTAGTTATGATTTTGATTTCACAAGTTTTAGGGTGCAACAAATTATCAAGATTTCTTATGTATAAAATGTTTTAATTGATAAGTATCTTTGAACTATAAAGTGATTAAAATAAAAAAAAAGTTTTGTGAAATCTAAGTTTCATTTTAAAAAAAAATTTCGAATTGAAAAAAAATCATAGTTTCTTTTTACTTAAAATTGAATGTTACATTTTAGTATCAGGGCTGATTGGTTCAATTCGGCTTTTAAGTCGAGTCTATAACTGATTCAGTTAAAAAGTTTGTCTGTCGTTCTAGAGTTTAGTATCATTTTCACGTCTTAGTATGACTTATTTGAATTTTATTTATTAATTTGAATTTATTATTTAGATACATACAAATTTAATTTAATTTAGATAAAAATATTTATGCTATATAACTTTATTTTATGCAAGTATTTTGAAATTCCACAAATCCTCATAAAACTTCATGAAAAATATTTGCTGGTGGGTATTATTTCTTTCTCTACGATTTTTGGTTCCTTATTAATTTTTAAAATTTTATTTTGAAATTTGTGTTCATGAATATTTATAAATTTGTGTTCTTTAATGTTTTTTGCATGAGGATGTAATGCACAACACGTATATATGGAAATAATTAAAATTTTCTAAAACAACCTATATAATAACATCATGACCCACCCCAGACCTAAACCAGTCTTATTCATCTTTTCCTTCAACAACATCAAAAAAACATCAAAAAATTAATTGAAAAAACAAAAAAGATAAACCATGGAAAGACATGTCACCACCATCCAACATTATATGTTTTTTCTCAACTGGTGTTATAACTTCCAGTATCTATTACTAAAAAAATTACTACATCTCTTTACTGTTTTTTCAACATTCCATCCATTATAATTATTAATTTAAATGATGCTTTCCTCTCTAAAATTCAGAGTCTATGGTTATCATAATTCTAAATTAACTGCTTTGAACGGGGTAGGGTGCATGAAACAAAGGGAACAAAAAGTAACAATTAAAAGTTAATATTTTTAAAATTATTAAAAATGAATTAATAATTAAATATTGTTAGCTAAAAGTGATTTGCATTATGTCATACCATATCTATAGTACACGACACATTCGTTTTTGTATTATAATTTTTTTAAATATTACATTTAATTTTACAGATAAAATAATATAATGGAAAATATCCGTAATCAAGATTTAAGAGAGTGTCAAAGAGAAAGACGAGCACAAAATGCAAGAGATCGAAGATAGTGGATGAGTGTCGAGCAAAGACAACAAGAATTAGTTAGAAGGCATTCGAATTATAGACAAACTAAAGACAAAGGAAAACAAGTTCAAACATCTAATACTTCTAATATGAGAACCATGATGTCATTTCAAGACTTGACAAATGTCATTATTACTTCTCGATTTTATCCAAGGGCACATGACAGTGAAGTTGAACCAAGTACCACACATGTCAGTCGTATTCCATCCCCGGGTTAGAAACTTTAATTTATGTTAAAGATTATACTTTAGTACATTATACTTAAAAAATATCATTTAAAAATAATTGTATGGTCTATTACTTCAAAACTAATTTATAGATCAAAATTTTACATACCCAGTTTTCCAACAAACTGATAACAACGAAGTAAGACCATTTATAAGAAATATTGATGACAATGATTGTGGTAAGTATAATTCTATCAATAATCTATAATCTATAACAATATATAAAGTGAAAACTTATTTTTGGTGTAGCTTTTTTTCTTCCAATATTACCCTTCAAGAATTAACTGACACTAAAAACAATCAATTCAAAATTAAAAGTAATGCCTTTTAAATTTGAAAATATCCACAGTTAATAAAATAATAACATAAAATGTCACGCTTAACTTTTATCTAACTGATAGTGCAATTTTTTTAGCAAGATAGTGAAGTTATTTATTTGTGTGAAAAACAAAAACACTTTAAAATCACAAACGAACTGCCACGATTAACTTTTACATAAATGACAAATCGGTTATTCATTTGTGTGAAAAATTATAACACATTAAAATCACAAAATTGAATAAAAATTAAAAACCATATACCACCATCCATTGAATCAGTATTTGCTAAGATCACATTGAAATTTTGTATCTAATTTCTTTCTAATGTGTTTTTCACAGTTATTCTTAAAATATATATCTTTCTCTATTATGTGTTTTCACAATTATTCTTAAAATATAAATCTATCTCTATAACAACTTATAAATTAATAAACCTTTTTTTTTAATTATATAAATTATCTTCTTCTATAAACTTCTATAACAATATAAAATGCAAAATATCTTTTTGGTGTAGCATATTTTCTTTTCTCTTTTATCCTTCAAAACTACTTAGAAGTTACACAAGGACAGAATAACTACTTCCCTATTTTATATTTGAATATTGTACACAACTAAAAATAAGTAGTTATTTGAAAAGAAAACTGACTTTAACTTCCGATTAAAAATTATATTTAAATACACATATCACAAAGAGAATTGGACGTATGGAAAAAATGGAACAACGACAATGTGGAAAAGAATCAATTTTGCATGCACTTGGATATCATACACTAACTATTTTTTTAAAGTGTGAACACTATAACATTATTTTGCTTTATATACAATCAAACTAGAACACAGTGAAGTCTTCCAATTATGTAAGAAGTTGAGGCAAAAGAATGTTGAAAATTACTTCGACATAAAAGTAAGTTATAATTAATCATTTCTTTTATGATTTTATTATATTATTCAATCGATTAGGTCATACATATTTCTCATCATTCTTATAATTATATGTAATAAATTTTAGATAACTGACTTTGAAGATAAATGGAACACATGGAAGGATGAACAAACAATTTCATCCATCGGCAAACTTGACAATAAGGTGTATTTACCTTTTTCGTAATATGTGTAAAAAAAATCTATTTGTTATATTTTCACCACTCTTTCACTAACACATTTATCATCCTTATTAAAACAGGTCAAACGTTTAAAAATTTACTCTGTTGGTTTAGGCTCCACAATGATAATAGATAAAACACAACTTTGGAAAGTGGTGAAAAAAAATAATATCTCAAAGGATGAAGAGGTTTTTATTTTATTCATTTAAAAATATTTATCCATAGAATATTTTTGAATGCATGAATTTTACATTTATTATTGGTTTGCGTAAATAGAACCATATATATTCAATAAGTCAATTGTTTTCCTTTTTTTACCAGAAATCAACGTAATTCAAAAATAAGTCAGAGTTGGTCTACCAGATCTAAACTAAAACAAAGTATCTTCACTCTCCAGGTATACATTTATTTATGCCACAGTACACCAATTATATTCAAACAAGTCACATGTATTGAATATGTTTCTTTGTTTATATGACATTTATTGATGTATTTGTTGTTTTTTAAAACTCAAGAACACATTGATAAAGGGATGTATGGAGAGTTGATTTGAATCTTTACAAGGTAGAAAAATACTATATTGCACTAATTACTATTACTTTTACTATATTTTTCTCTAAAACAATGCTAATGTAAGAGTCTTATATTTTTTCTTTATTACGGAAAACAATTGCAGAGAAAAACAAAATTCTCCCAATAAAGTTTTATATTCGGTCTTCCTCTTAAAGAATATTATTAATTACAATATAAATAAAACTTTATATGTTTCGGTTATTGAATATAATTTAGAATATATTTGTTTACCATTTTCATGAAGGAATAATTTTATTAGTGTTTAGACAACATATTTTTTATCTAAATTAATTTAATTCTAATAATTACAAAAACCTATTTTAAAAATAATAATAGCATTAGTACAGATAGTTAATTCACTAAAGTGTTTTTAGAAAATATATATTTATCATCTTAATTTTAAGTAAATAGTATAGATAATCTAAAACATATTTTTTTTAATGCAAAGTACGATAAAAATCTCATATATAATAATATACACACATTTATTTTTCTTTGTTATGCACGTTAAAAAAAGCAGACAAACGGGCACGGCAGTGCCCGTTTGAACGCTAGTTTATTTAAAATTAAAATATTTTTCACCACAATTATTTCTACCAACCTTAGTGAAATGTGTCATATATTTTTTCTATCTCAGAGAGTTTAGTTTTCACAATCTCACAAAGAATTTAGTTTTCACAATAACACAGAGTTTAATTTTCACATTCACATTGTTTTTACAATCATTGATAAGTTTTATTTGTAATATCGGTTAGATTTATCTA